CACTCCCTGAAGACTCCCTCTTCAGGTATTACACTATTACCAAAGTGGCTCTTTTTTTGCTCCCACAGTAAGGCGAAGAAGCCTTTACAAAATATCTCTCTTCCACAAATCTCTAGTGTGGCAGAGTACCGTCGTCCTTTCATACTCTCCAAGTTTTGGCAGAGAATCATCATTCTTTCACACTTCTCCAAGTGTTGGTAGAGAACTGTCATCCTTTTATACTTCTCCAAGTATCGATAGAAAATCATCATCTTTCACTACAGGAAAAATCGCAATTTCCGGCGTCCATTTTTCGTCGGAAAATGACTAAAATCCGCCGGAAATTAGGATTTCCGGCGGATTTCCGACGAAAATATTTACGCCGGTTCAACGCGCGTCGAAAAAGTGCTATCGGCGTAAAACTTTCCGCCGGAAATTTTTCCGGCGAAAATTTAAGATCAAAATAATAATTATATTTAATTTAACACTAAATTATTAAACTTTTTAATTTATTTTATTTTAGCAATATTTTATTTAACAAAATAAATAATTTTAAATATTACGAATTATCATTTTACAGAAAATTTTTAATTTCGTCGGAAATCCGCCGGAAAGTCCGTCGGAAAAGCTAACAAAAAATGCGTCGGAAATAACTTCAAAAATTCCGTCGGAAGTACGCCGGAAATTCCGTCGGAAATAGTCCGTCGGAAATGCGTCGGAAAATCCGTCGGAATTTCTGACGAATTTATTTCTGCCAGAAATTCCGTCGGAAATAAGCTGTTTTCCTGTAGTGTTTTCACACCCTCCTTATGTCGGTAGAAAACCAGATCTTTTTCAAAGATCTTCTCATGAGAAACTCCAAAGAAGTAAGAAAGAGTTTCGATAAGAGTTATAAAGAGATCCTCACCTTTGGGTAATCTTATGAACCCTTCATAATTTCTACTTGCAATATCTCTCTCCACACTCTCAAACACTCTCCCAAATCACTCTTACAATTACTCTTAAAGAAAAAAAGAAGAAGGATTTTGTCCACAGTCAATTTATAAGACCTTATATATGAAAGACATGAAAAATATCTAGAAAACTAAAATTTTTAATTTTGATCATCCATGATCGTACAGTACGATCGACGATCATACATATGAACAGTTCAAAGTTTGCTCGAACAATCTAGTACAAATCGATTCCATATTCTGATTGGCCTGTGTATGAAGTGACATCGTATAATATGATCAGTTTAAAATTAAATAGATTCATCCGGTATGATTCAGTATGAAACAACTTTGTACTCTGAATAACATACTGTATGAAATTAGTATCGTACAATATGATCTATTTTAATTAATCCATATTTTGTTTGGTATAAAAATGAACTCAACCTTTTTATACTCTAGAAGTTGTTTGTACGATCCTATGATCGTATATTATGAATAGTTCAAAAAAATTACCTGTTCGTATGGACGACAATATACGCAATCATTTTGTACTCTAGATGTCATATATACGAACCTAAGATCGTACAGTACAAACATTTCAGAAAAAATCAGAAGTTCATCGGGACGAACTTGTACGTATCTATTTCGTACTCTAGAAGTCGTACGTATGAAGCTAACTTTGTATAGTACGAATAAGACTTAAAAAATTTTATTTGCATGGTTTGATTAACTACTTCTTGGAGGAACGCTCAAGCTAAATCATCCAGTGTGATCCAAAATCATGCAGTATGATTAGTTTTTAAAAATTTATAAATTTTTATACTCTCCCAGTGTGTGCGTATATGGTTACCAAATTACAATCACACTCTCTCAGGCTCAAGAAAAGTATAAAATTATAGACTTCAAAAATAATAAACCCTAATCTAATCTGACTTGAAGTCTTCAGCAGTCTGCAGTATGATTTTCCTGAAATATTAGTACACACAAACAACAAAAACAATATTTCCAATATATGTTAGGAGAATCAGTAATCAAAATAATAATATTTTGGAATCTTTAAAAACACACATGATATGAAAACTAAGTTGTAACACTATATATGTCCTTTCAGTTAAACATTGTAAAATATACATGTCATTTCTTATGTTTAGAATGAATGCAGGAATCAATCACCATTTTATTAATATATTTATATTACTCAAATTTAGGGTTATGCCTCAATTTATAAACTGCCTAGTCAAATCCAATATGAATATGTCAATAAGTGCAGAATCAGCACATACATTTATGTCATACTAAATGTTGCTCTTTAAAAGTTTACTATGAATCATGATATCATGTCTTGTGCAAATTCTAACCAAATTGAATTTCAAAAATCTTATGTAGATGGAAAACTATTGAAAATAAAGGTACGATAATAGTAGCCTACATTAAACAAATAAATTTTTTAACTAATTTAGAGACCCCTGAACTCATTTTTGTTGAAAATAGTTGCTGCTTAGCTTTTTCTGTTTAATATTCTTGCAACTTGTATATTTTTTATGATTTCAAATATTATTGCTTTGATTATTATTTCTCCTAACATATTTTGGAATTATTATTTTTACTCTTGTGTGTACTAACAGTTTAGGGAAATCATACTCCAGATTGTTGAAAACTTCAAATCAAGTTCAGCTTAGCGTGTTTTGTAAATTGATGTCTATATTTTTCAGTTTATTGAGTCTGAGGGTGTGTGATTATAATTGAGTAACTAAGCACACACATACACAATGAGGGAGAGTTTTTATAATTCACATTTTAACTGATCGTACTGTACAATACAATTTCCCTGGACGATATCCTCTAGAATTTCACTTTGAATTGTTTTTCTAGACAAATTATCTTGTTCGTCCATGGACGATATCCTCTAGATTTTCACTTTGAATTGTTCGTCCAGACGAATTTACCCCTTCATCCCTGGACAATGTCCTATGTCTATTTTTGTTCATTTTGTATTGACTATTCGTACAGACGAACTTTGAAATTGTTCTGTTCGTACTGGACGAAAATGAGTTCGTACTGATTCACATATAGTTCGTACAGGACAATTTTTACATTGTTCGTACGTACTAACACAGGTTCGTACGGGAATGTTTTTACACTGTTTGTCCGTACTAACTCAGGTTTGTACGGGACTATCGTGAGCGCTGAAAAACTTGAAATCTTTAGTTTTTGGATGGTTTTTTCTTGTCCTTTCTATATAAGGAGTCCTAGAAACTATTATAAGTGCCTTTTTTGTTGTTTTCTCTTGAGAGGGATCATTGAGTGTGACTGTTTGGGAGAGATTGTGTAAGTGAAGAGTGAGAGATCAAGTGAGGATTTGTGAGGGATTCACAAAGTTACTTAAAGCAAAGATCTCTTTGTTTCCTTCAAGTTTCTGCCCATCTCCTCTAAAGGCTCTCAAGTGAAGTTTAACAACATCGGTCCGGTTCTCTGCCGACACTTGGAGAGTGTAAAAGGATGACAAAGTGCATCTTTGACAGTCATTGTGTCTTCGTTCTTTTGGAGAAAACTATAAGACAAAACTTGAAAGTGAGAGAGGAAGGGGTAGAGTTTGAGTGGGAGAAGATCCTTGGAGGGGATTTCAAGGGAGTGTGGAGAGGGTATTCACACGGTTGCTCCGGCAAGTTTGCACCTCAGTACCATCGGATTCAAGGATCTTCTTGAGTGAAGTTTTGGGAAGAAGAAGATCTCTTTGGTGTCAAAGGATCCGGCTCCTCCGCCGCACCGGGGAAGGTGAAAGTGATTTTGTTAAGGCTTATCCGTCTTGCTATGGGGGAAAAAGGAGAGTCACTTTTTGATATTAGTGTAATACTCGGAGGGTGCCTTCGCGGAGTGGACATAGGTCAAGATTTGACC